CGGGTTCAGGGAGCTGGTGGGGTCACAGTAGTGATAGACCCAGGGGTCGGGTTCAGGGAGCTGGTGGGGTCGCAGTAGTGATAGACCAAGGGGATGGGTTCAGGGAGCTGGTGGGGTCACAGTAGTGATAGACCCAGGGGTCGGGTTCAGGGAGCTGGTGGGGTCACAGTAGTGATAGACCCAGGGGTCGGGTTCAGGGAGTTGGTGGGGTCACAGTAGTGATAGACCCAGAGGACTAATTCAGGGAGTTGTTTGGGTCACAGTACCGATAGACCCAGGGGACTGATTCAGGTAGTTGGTGGGGTCACAGTCTGGATAGACTCAGGGGACCAATTCAGGTAGCTGGTGGGGTCACAGTAGCGATAGACCCAGGGGACTGATTCAGGTAGTTGTTTGGGTCACAGTAGCGATAGACCCAGGGGACTGATTCAGGGAGCTGGTGGGGTCACAGTCTTGATAGACTCAGGGGACCAATTCAGGTAGTTGGTGGGGTCACAGTAGTGATAGACCCAGGGGACTGATTCAGGGAGTTGTTTGGGTCACAGTAGCGATAGACCCAGGGGACTGATTCAGGTAGCTGGTGGGGTCACAGTCTGGATAGACTCAGGGGACCAATTCAGGTAGCTGGTGGGGTCACAGTAGCGATAGACCCAGGGGACTGATTCAGGTAGCTGGTCGGGTCACAGTCTGGATAGACTCAGGGGACCAATTCAGGTAGCTGGTGGGGTCACAGTAGTGATAGACCAAGGGGATGGGTTCAGGGAGCTGGTGGGGTCACAATCTGCATAGACCCAGGGGACTGATTCAGGGAGCTGGTGGGGTCACTGTCTGGATAGACCCAGGGGACGGGTTCAGGGAGCTGGTGGGGTCACAGTCTGGATAGACCCAGGGGACTGATTCAGGGAGCTGTTGGGGTCACAGTAGTGATAGACCCAGGGGACTGATTCAGCGAGCTGTTGGGGTCACAGTAGTGAGAGACCCAGGGGACTGATAGGGGTCACGGTCTGGATAGACACAGGGGACGGGTTCAGGTAGCTGGTGGGGTCACAGTCTGGATAGACCCAGGGGAATGATTCAGGGAGCTGGTGGGGTCACAGTAGGGATAGACCCAGGGGACTGATTCAGGGAGCTGGTGGGGTCACAGTAGTGATAGACCCAGGGGACTGATTCAGGGAGCTGGTGGGGTCACAGTCTGGATAGACCCAGGGGACGGATTCAGGGAGCTGTTGGCGTTATGAGTCACGCTTGAAAGTCACATCTCAAATTATCTTTATAAAGTCGTTTTACCCAGTTGTCATACTTTTTCGTCTACGTTCAAACCTGTTAAACATTGCCTTATTCTTTCATATACATCCAACCCGGTATAATATTTTTGACAATATCGTCTACGTTCAGCCATGATCTCCGATGTCTAACTCTCTCGTCTACGCTCTGCCAGGTCCCCACACCCACAACGTGTGTAACGACAGAAGCCATTACATGGATGGCCGCACAGTTCCTAAAATAATTCAGGTTTCCCCGTCAACCATCTCCTCTTCATTTCGTTCAATCATTTACTCCCATATCCATGATTAACGGCTGCATATCACTTTATTAACCTCACGTCAACAACTCTTTGGACAGACTGTCAGACGAGCGACCATACACATTATAGCCATAACCCAGGTGCTTGCGAACTCTTATCTCTGTAATTGTATCGTATCGGGGTCTAGCTTAATTTGTCTAAATTTATTTTGCATTAAGAAAAAGTATTTCTTTATCTGATTAGTACCATTGTTTTAATGTAGCTTGTTGGACGTTTGAATGATATTTCCACAATTGGGTTTGGTCATGTCATCTAGTTATTTCAACAGGCTAGATCATAACAGCGACCCCTACCTGCCGGCATTGCAGCCTGGTCCCAGAAACACTAGCGCATCTGGTGACCGAATGGCGCCCAATGGATGTTTCTGGGGAGGCCAGGGCGGTGGGGGAGCCCTACGTGCGGAAAATGTTGTGTGGCTCAGCTCAACAGGTGGAGCTGGTAGCCAAATGTACTAGTCGGGTCATAACAGAGTAATCTCATACCTTATCAGAACATGTGCGTTAGTTAGTTATCTCAAGACGTCTTTTTCTAAAAATTAATGACTGTATTTTTTTCTTCAAAAAAATGTACTTTCTATTCCAGGTTTCGGCATGACGACTCCGAGGACAGTTCCGGGAAAAGTCGTCTTAGTCTTCTACGGATTCTTCGGCTGCGCGGGCGCCATCCTCTTCTTCAACTTGTTCCTGGAGAGAATCATCACGTTCTTAGCCTACATCCTGCGCGCCATCCACGAGAGGGGGCTGAGGAAGAAGGGGATGCTCAGCAGACGAAGGTCCAGCCAGGGCTCCGAGGACGAACAGCTGGACTCGTGGAAGCCGTCCGTCTACTGGGTCATGCTGATCCTGATGCTGGGCGCCCTCACGGTGGCGTTCATCGCCTCGGGGATGTACTTCCCCGTGGAGGAGTGGACCTACTGGGAGGCGATGTACTTCTGCTTCGTCGCGTTCGCCACCATCGGCTTCGGGGACTACGTGGTGAGCCAGAAGGCGGATTACCCGAACGTGGTGCTGTACCGGCTCGGGAACTTCGTGTTCATCGTCCTGGGCTGCTGCTGCATCTACAGCCTGTTCAACGTCACCTCCATCGTCATCAAACAGGTGCTGAACTGGATGCTGAGGAAGCTCAACTGCGAATGCCGGATACGAAAGCCGCCCCTGGTACGGCGGAACGCGATCACCCCGGGGCACCTTCAGAAGGGCGCCGCGCCTGGGGCGGCGGCGGGCGGGAAAGCACCGACCGTGACCGTCACGGACGCCGACGGGGACAGCGACTCCGAGTACCGGCGTAACTCCGGGGAGATGATATCGATGAAAGACTTCCTTCAGGCCAACAAGATCAGCCTGGCCATGATGCAGAAGCAGCTGTGGGAGACGTCGCAGAGGGCGGGCTCGTACCACAACAACAACAGCGGCGGCTTCCAGGGAGGGGTCGGGCCGCTGGCCATTCTCAACAGAAAACTAGGCCAGGACGAATACGACCCCACCATATAAGCCTGGGGGGGGGGGGGGGGGGGGGCCCTTTTTTTTTTTTTT